AAACGGAACGATAGTTAGTAATTAGAAGAAATTTATGGTGGACACATAGAAGTTATTATGAAATGGGATGGCAGCTAGTAGTTAGAAGAAAGATCCGGTGGTGACACAGAAGTCTATATGGGACAGAGTGGCGGTTAGTAGTTAGAAGATAGATCCGGTGGTGACATAGAAGTTATTATGGGATAGAATGGCAGCTAGTAGTTAGAAGAAAGATCCGGTGGTGACATAGAAGTTATTATGGGATAGAATGACAGCTAGTAGTTAGAAGAAAGATCCGGTGGTGACATAGAAGTTATTATGGGATGGAATGGCGGCAGCTAGTAGTTGGAAGAAAGATCCGGTGGTGACACAGAAGTCCTTTAACACAAGCATAACAAAAATATGATGTAAACAATAATGACATAATCCAAAGATGGAAAATATAGTACAAAGATATCAGTGATTTCTTTATTTTATTTCTTAGTGTGAAAGATAAAACACTGGTGCACATGGACGGCTTTTACCACTGATCTTTGAGTTAGTGTATTCTCACCAGTTACAAGACGCCACACTTTGCTTACCATGGTTGGGGTAAGCCTCGTTTCAAGTCTCTTTCTGGTTGGTCCTGACACTCCAAATTTATTGATATTCCTTTATTTTTTTCAATGCCGAGGGATATCTTGGAAATTCTAAATTCCCGATCTGGTCTTTATGATCTGAATGTATGAATGTTTAACGTCAAAAAGTGATATTATATACACTTCTCACTTTTTGATTACTTTTCATTGGCATCATACTACCTACAAAACACTAAACAATGTTAAAACGTAGTTCTGATACATTATGTCCCACCGTGACTTTATATAGGCTGTGGTTTTCACGATACTTGCTAATTCGCATATTCAAAATCGTTATGTCGTAATATACATAGTCCAAAATATTCACTTGATGAACACAGTTATTTTGTTGTTGTCTTTTCCTTCAATGTTTAAATATAAACTTATACGAACAATCGTTTAGTTAGAAGTTTTAAATAAATTTTCATGTTCAATTACTCATGGCTGAGGAGAACAAAACGTGTTCTTAGTTATTCTCTGATGACATCTTTTGGTTTTGTATTTATTTCAATAACAACGGCGAAATATCAATGACGTAAACAGCAGGTGGGGGAAGAGAAGGCCTACTTACTTCACGCAAGAAAAGGTCATCAACTTAGCAAGCGTGTACTTACTGACTATAAATAGAATCTGAGTATTACATGATGATGATGTACTTAACGGTACATTAATCTTTCACGGATCGTGCTTACAGTTCTCTAGCTCATGACCTTAAATTGTCTATTGTGCTATAAATATCACCAAAATTACGGACTTCTCTTTAGTTCACTTAAACCTTTACTAAATAGAATTAAACGACACTCGATGTGGCAACGATATTTCAACAATGTTCTAACGTTTGACTGAAAAACAGTAATTACATCAGTGTTTGTTCAGAAGCTGAGAAAGATTATATTTTTGTTCTCGCAAGAAATATGATTAGAAATGGGAGTAGACTTCCCTCAGTCACAGATATTATTTCGACTATGTTTCTAAGATATTAGCTTTTATTCAATTACTAAGAATTCTGTGAAATCTACTCTGAAATCTAGAGCAAGAACTGATTGTGGAAAACAGTTCAACTGACCCTAATGGGCTGTTGAATTCAAAATATAGAGATGAAAAAGCAAAAAATAAAAAAACGTGTCACGTTTAAAATAGTACGAATTTGGTGGGAAACAAAAAATATCAAATAATTCATGAATAAATACTATGTGAGTTTTCTATCTATCTTCTACTGCTGGTTAACCCAAACAATAAATTTGGTCTTTTATTCGATTTTCTATTGTTCGTTAACCCTCAACAGTAGGCTTAGCCTTCTATCCATCTTCTATTGCTCGTTAACCCCAAAGGGTAGGCCTAGCCTTCTATCCATCTTCGACTGTTCGTTAACCCCAAATAGTTGGCCTAGCCTGCTATCCAACTTCTACTGTTCGTTAACTCCAAACAGTAGGCTTAGCCTTCTATCCATTTTCGACTGTTCGTTAACCCCAAACAGTAGGTCAGCCTTCTATCCATCTTCGACTGTTCGTTAACCCCAAACAGTAGGCTTAGCCTTCTGTCCATCGTCGACTGTTCGTTAACCCCAAACAGTAGGCTTAGCCTTCTAGCCATCTTCTACTGTTTATTAACCCTGAACAATAAGCTTGGTCTTCTGTCCATCTACGATTATAATTCTTAGGTTGATCCCAACATAAGTATTTGTGTAAACTCATCTCTGATACCGGTACATACCGTTTTACTGGAAACGCTTACTTCGTGAAGTTGTTTCCAATGCTTGAATTAGCCCTTTGTTGACAAGTTCATTTCGGTTTGCCGTGGGAGTTAATTCTAGTTTTGGCCAGTAGAGTAGAATTCTCATGTGCAACGCCTTTAAGGCTTCCCGGTTTTAAAATTCGAAACTGTTAATTAGACAATAAGGAATATATAGTGCCTTTCAACAATGCTAATATTCCAAAGTTCCTATAAAGTGCCCATCTACTGTACGGTTTACATATATAATGCAAGTTGGTTCTGCAGCTCTGACGTAATGAAACACATGATATAATCAATGTAAAACCGTACAATATATTTAGATATCAACCAAGGTTTTAATTCACACTTCTGAAGATTAAGCTATAGAACAAAAACGACTTATTTTTTAGGTTTTCACGTTACTATGTGGTTTTAAAAGTATCTAAAGATATAAAACTTACATGTAGCGCCTCGTAACATTGATCCCCACCTATTTTGAGTTCGCTAAAAAGAAAGATTGCTGATGTTGGAATTTATATAACATATAAAACATGTTTATTCTCATAGCAAACATGATGTTATAAACCTTGGGTATATGTTTTAGTTTTCATTTTTAACATGTTGTCATGGTTAGATTTCATGGTAAATTTGGACATAGTTTCATGACACTTTGGGATGATAAACAGATGTTGGACTGAAGAGGACACGGGAAAGTGTCGAAACTAGTATCCGTTGTTTCATAATAATGGATTTATATTTTATCTTAGATTATTCTACACGTTATTGTGTAGTTTCCTGACATTTGGATATATAGCTTAGTTCAACTTTCATGGTTAACTTGGAAAAAAGTTTAAGGAACTAGAAAACGTGGTTTAGATTAGATTTCATGGTTAACTTGGGCATGGTTTCGTGCAACTAGAACACGTGGTTTAGATTAGATTTCATGGTTAACTTGGACATGTTGTCATGAACTAGAGTATATGGTTTAAGTTAGTTTTTATGGTTAACTTAGACATGGTGTCATGGCGCTTAGATATATAGTCCAGTTGAACTTTATGGTTAACTTGGAAACATTGTCAGTATATTAAATATGAAGTATGATAGGGGAAGCCTTTATTTAAATATGGTGGCGATGTAAATTCCACCTGAACCGTACGTTAATATTTAAACAGAAATTTCAGATTGTGCAGTAATATGAGTTGTTAAAAAATAAGCCTTATTAGCAAACTATAGCTCAAATATATATATATATATTAATCAAATTTACTATAAATGTATCTTAATCACCTGACGTGCAGCTGGTTTCGGTATTCACTGTAGTTTAACAAAATCTTCAGATAATTATGCCTAACTTTATCTGTATTTTGATAAAACTAAACGGATGGAATACAAACTCAAAACAATGTTACTAATTTTTTGTATTTCAGAAAATAAGCAATATTATTTTGACAGGAAAATAAAATTTTAAAGTTCATCTCCAATAAAAGCAGTGACGTAGGTAAACTTCCTTGTCAAACCGGATGATACACTGTTTAAACAGTTACTAATTTTATGTTACAAACCATTAAAATTCATTGATAATCGGTGAGACAATAAACGATTTGTCATTTATCATATAAACTTGAAAGTTGTGCCTTATGTATCATATAAACTTGAAAGTTGTGCCTCATGTATCATATAAACTTGAAGGTTGTGCCTCATGTATCATACAACACAAGTCTGAACGTTGTATGTTATTTATTTTATAACATAAACTCCAACGTTATGTGTACATTATAACATGAACTTAAATGTTATATATTACTTAATTTTATGATGAAATTGAACGTTGTGTATTATGTATTTTATAATACAAGTTTCAACATTATGTGTACTTTTTAACGTGAACTTGAACGTTGTGTGTTATGTACTTTAGAACACAAACTTCAACATTATATATTCTTTATAACATGAATCTGAACGTTGTGTGTTATGTACTATATAATGTGGACTTGAGCGTTGTTTTTATGTACTTTATAACATGAACTTGCACGTTGTGTGTTACATACTTTATAACATGAACTTGGTGTAACACACAACATTCAAGTTCATGTTATAAAGTGTGTAACACACAACATTCAAGTTCATGTTATAAAGTACATAAAACACAACATTCAAGTTCATGTTATAAAGTATGTAACACACAACGTGCAAGTTCATGTTATAAAGTACATAAAAAACAACGCTCAAGTCCACATTATATAGTACATAACACACAACGTTCAAGTTCATGTTATAAAGTATGTAACACACAACGTGCAAGTTCATGTTATAAAGTACATAAAAAACAACGCTCAAGTCCACATTATATAGTACATAACACACAACATTCAAGTTCATGTTATAAAGTACATAAAAAACAACGTTCAAGTCCACATTATATAGTACATAAAACACAACATTCAAGTTCATGTTATAAAGTATGTAACACACAACGTGCAAGTTCATGTTATAAAGTATGTAACACACAACGTGACTTTATAACATGAACTTGAATGTTGTGTTTTATGTACTTTATAACATGAACGTTTCACAATTTATGACAAAAATGTGTTAAAAGAAAGTTTATCATACTTTACATTTAAATAAAAATATTTCGTTTACTTTAAAAAACGTGAGAAATATTTAACAATTCTTCAGGAGGCTGAAAAGATAAGATTGTGCTTCGAAAATTATTTTTATTCTATTACAGTTAATGTCATTAGAAGCTTCTTTTTAAATGCATTAATATAATTACAAAGACGGATTTCCAGTTCCGTTTCATAAAACCGTTTATAATAATAATAATCACTGTGTTGAAAATGATACCAGCGTATGTGTTTTTTTAAGGACGCTGGAAATTTTGTATAGCTGATATGTAAACGAACCAAATACCTAGTTATCGTCACAGCTTTGGCTAACACAGTTCCGCTTCCTGTCATCTAAAACCACACTTTATATAGATGACATACACACGAGCGACAGGTTCCAGTTATCGTCACAGCTATGTTAATCACAGTTAGGCTTCCTGTCATCTAAAACCACACTTTATATAGATGACATACACACGAGCGACAGGTTCCAGTTATCGTCACAGCTATGTTAATCACAGTTAGGCTTCCTGTCATCTAAAACCACACTTTATATAGATGACATACATACGAGCCACAGGTTCCAGTTATCGTCACAGCTATATTAATCACAGTTAGGCTATCACAGTCATCTAAAATCACACTTCGTATAGGTTACAAACACGTTATGTAATACTCTTGTTAATCCTCAGCACCAAAAATAAAAATAAAAAAGTATTTGGATACAAAAAACTTGTTTTTAGTGACTTTAGTAACAGCTTTCGTAACCCTACTCTAGTCAGCAGTGTTTTATAGTTTTGTACATTACTTTCTTACTACAGTTTTTCGAGTCAGGTGTAAAGCTGTGGAGACACAGTAACCCCGACCTCTTCGTAGAGCAGACCTGACCTTGATTTGGAACCTATACAGGGGAGGGAAGGGGGACACCAATGGCGTCAGACCATTTGGTGGTATGTGAGGAACACTATAAAAGCTAGAAAGCACACGGAAGGACGTTTAGTAAGGGCGATTCAGCACTGTATACGAGAACATAGTGATAACATGGACCTTAGAGTAGAGGTAGGTGATTCTCATTTTATGTTGAGAACTTCATGAATTTTCTTTGTAACAGAAATGTTATTTTAGTATTATGAGAGCTCCACCCGTTTCATTTTTGTAGTTCCGGAACAGGGATTATCGATTCAACATTTCATGGTATTGTGCAATGCCATCTTGACCTTTAAGAGCACTTTTACATATAAGCAATTCTCCCAGTGCCAGGTTTATTTGTAATGTTACTTGTCCGAAACTTAGAACTTATACAGTTTCAATGAAAATATTCTTTATTCAAATGCTATAAAGTTGAAGTAATAATCTTTCACGGTTTGTTTCTCAATGTTTAAGATTTCCTATACATCCAACCATTGTTACATGATTTCTGTTAACCGATTTATTATATCGAATGTTATACCAGTGATAGGTTAGCGTGAAACCGTTCGATGAAAAGCTATAAACGGTATCAAAACGTAGAAAATATCCTGTTTATCATCCGGGGGTGTTTCTGTCAATAATATTAATTATCATAGAGAAAAAATAAGTTTGCTTGTTGTAAAGCACAAAGCTACACAATGGGCTACCTGTCGTGTGCTCACCACGGGTATCAAAGCTCGATTGTTAGTGTTATAAGCCATCTGACTTACCGTTGAGCCATTGAGAGAAAAGAAGGAAGTGCTGAGAATAATAACGATTTTTAAAGCGATCTTACTAAGTACTTTTTCATCTTGAGAGGCTTCAGTTATAAGCAACCTTGAGACAACTTGCTTTGTGGACGTTTGGTGAAAATGTTTTAAAGATAGGTGTTCATTTGGCTTTATGTATGTAACCTAAAAATGATCAAACTGTCGTCTAACGTTTAGGTTATATCTGAGAGTCAATTGGTTTCAAAAACAAACTGATAGACTCAAACAAAAAACGGTATTGCCTTTTTTTTGGTCAATTTTCATGTTGAAAAAAAATCTGTATGGTAAAAACAACAACAACATATGATACCTTGATGTATGGTAAAAACAACAACAACATATGATACCTTGACTGTATGGTAAAAACAACAACAACATATGATACCTTGATGTATGGTAAAAACAACAACATATGATACCTTGATGTATGGTAAAAACAACAACATATGATACCTTGATGTATGGTAAAAACAACAACATATGATACCTTGATGTATGGTAAAAACAACAACAACA